GGTTCTGCTCAAGTGGGCTTTCAGCGGCGCTTTTGTGGCAGGGACCAAATGTTACCTGGGACGGGGCAGACGGCTTGCGAACGCACCTAAGAGGAGGAGTGCTGGAGGTACGTCAAGAAATGAAAAAGGTCAGATGATGAAGTGCTTCCAGACTATGCTCAGCAAGCCAGAGGGGGGCTGTATCGTTTAAACTGTCCCCTGCGTTCACCCGTGGCAGCGGTGTGAAGGCAGCTGTGTCCGCAGTGACAGGGAGGGGTTGTGGCAGAGCTGCCGTTGGGGGCAAGAACTTCAACCAGATTGCTGCTGGCGCTCCTGCAAGCGTCCGGTGATGGCGGCTTACTCCTGGGTCCCGAAATAACCAGGTCGATGTTCCTCTGTCTTCACCAGGTCCTCCGGGGAGGAGCCAGCCAGCGTCCTTTGACCCCGAATCAGAACCAGCAGGGACAGCAGACCGATCCGCTGGTGGCTGCTGCAGCCCCCAATTCTGGCCTTTGGGCAAGGGCTGGCAGCGGGGATGCCAGGTAGGGCTCCGAGGGAGCTGCGACTTCTCCAGTGCCCAGGGAGAGCTCAGAAAATGACGCCTTATGTCTCTGCGCAGTGTCACGTGGGCCTGGCATTCAGCAGTATTTTGGTTTTATTGCTTTTTGGTTTTGATCTGTGGGCATACAAGGCATTTTCGAGAGCCTGTTAGATGTGAACCTAACTACCTGTGCAGGATTGAAGTTAAATCAAGCTTGAGGTCCATGTGTCACAGATGAAAACAAATATTATCAACTGTATTGCTGTCCGGGTGCGTGCGTTCCTTGCGTACTCAAAAGAATCGACGGCTGCTATTGCAAGTTGCTTTCAGATTTCTCTGTGGATCACTCAAGCTTACGTGATCTCTGGTTTAAAACCTCAGAGATACCTTGGTCCCGTTCATGACCCTTGTCTCTCCATCCCTGCCAGGTGATTGAACAGGATAGGGACTTCCCCTGCGTGATTTCTTCCAGGCAAATACTAGCAGCTTAAAAACAGGAAAAAAAGACGAATAAAAGGAAGCAGGGTTTTATTCTAATGTAGAATTCTGCAAGAGAGGAGCTACGGTATGAGTTCAAGCTCTGATCCATGAAGCTACATGGTACAAATGCTTTTGACATTGTTATACAGAGTGTTACAGTAATGGCAAAGGGCAAACGTAAGTATTTTTTTGAATAATATGCGAGTGTGTTCTGCTGGTCAAATGTAAGAGAAGAAGGTTATTTTGACCTCGGGTCTCCTTGCTGGAAGTGTCACCTGATTGTTACACCGGGGTGTTTTATGGTTTAAGAAGAATGTTGCTGTCTTAAGTGACAGAGTGCGCTGTGGCACGCGTGGTTCCAGGCAGTCTGCAGATTTCCTGAGATCTGCATTACTGGGCTGTTGGGGTTATATTTGCAAAGCAGGTAGTCAGAGAACGTTCTCTCTGTGACCTCGCCTGGGAGAATCACTTGGCTTTTTCCTGAAAGCTTTATTTAACTGTAGAATTACACAGCGAGGTACCAAAATAGCTCCATACTACTGAAAGTCTGCTGCTGTGTGTATTACCAGCATATATGATTTAAGAGTTTGTATATGTTAAAGAATACTTTATGATACAAACCTTCAAAAATGCATAACTTTATGTTCCGTGTCTTGTTTGCCTGTGTGCACACTGAACAACCTCAGCATACAGGGGAGAGCTGGAAGTGCAGTGTGTTCACAGACGTGAGAAGTCCCAGCACACACTGTGCTCGTAACGGACAAGAAATAGCGTTTTTGTATTTAAAGACCTTTTTTTATCTGTAGCTGAATTTACACTGAGGGCAAGGTTAGTGTAACAGGTTTGGGGAAAAACAAAATTCTTCTCTTCCAGAAAGTCTTACTAATGTAAAGTCGTAGACTGTTAATATGGATTATTTTTCCTCTTTTTTTTTTATTCAGGAGAAGCAGAGCTGTTGTCTTTCCATTCAAATTTTCCTTTAAAAGTCTTATTGCGCTGTACTCGTCGGACGACGGTTGACCTGCCGTGGGTTGCGTTGCGTGTTACCTCACCTGTGCACCCATGATTTGCCTCTCCAGGTTACCCAGTGCTGGCTCCGGCTGCGTACTACGACCAAACCGGTGCTCTCGTGGTGAACGCAGGGGCCAGGAACGGCCTGGGGGCCCCCGTCCGTCTGGTGGCCCCCGCTCCGGTCATCATCAGCTCCTCCGCAGCACAAGCAGGTGGGTCCTGGCCCTGTCGAGTGCAAATCTGCTCTGTCCCCGACAGAGGGTGGGCCTGAAATCCGCGGGGCTCTGCTGGCAGTGACGACACGCTTGCCCTCACTGAGATCCCTGCGGGGGTTGTTGGTGAGAACGTCCTCTGCGCTCACCGTGGGCTGAGCCTCCAGAGCAGCCTCGGAGAGGTAGCGTCGCAGAAACTCTGTTATTCTGCCAGGTTTCGTGACAGTTATTTAGATTTGTCTGCTGGCATCTAGTTTCCCACATAATAAAAGGTTTTAGCCTGTGTAGAACTCCCAAATGATCGCCTTGCTTGCATAAAATGTTACATGCCCAGCCTTTGCCATGAGTTGTTTTGGGTTTTATTAGGGTTCTTTGGGAGTTCAAGGCTTTAAAAGAAATTTTTCAGCTGGAATCTGTGTGTGTAAGCAGTCTTTCCCAGTGTTAGTAACAGATTACGAAATGGGCCTTTTAATTGTTTCCTTGTAGCTCTTGTTTATTTTGCTTTTACTTTGGAACTGGCTGAAAAAGAGAAGCACTCGGGTTTGATGTTAGCGCCACAGGACTGCGTTTCATGCACTAAAGGACAATTTTACTTATTTCAAAACTTGGGTTTCGTAATTGGATGTTGCGAAGTGTGCGGCTGCATTGATTTGAATCTTAGATCTTGGGAGAAAGGGAACGTTTCTGTGTGTTTGATCTGCGTAGCTCTGAGAGCACCAGCAGCAGTAATCAGAACTGGGCACTGCTGGCTGGCCACGGAGTGGCTCTGCGCGAGGCTGGTGGAGCTCAGATAGAAGTCAAGAGGCTTTTTATGCAGAGTTTGATGCGAAAGGGGGATTTTCATCTGGAGAGGAAGGAAAAAAAAAATCTATAGTAAAAAAAAGGAACCTGCTAAGTTTTAACTTCCAAAATTGCTACAAAAATGGATTTTTCAGTCCATGCTTCCAATCACTTTCTCCGCAGCGGTGGCGGCGGCTGCAGCTTCGGCCAACGGTGCGGCGGGCGGCCTGGCAGGGACGACGAACGGACCATTTCGCCCTCTGGGAACTCAGCAGCCCCAACCCCAGCCCCAGCAGCAGCCCACCAACAACCTGGCATCCAGCTCCTTCTACGGCAACAACCCTCTCAGCAGCAACTCCCAGAGCAGCTCGCTCTTCTCGCAGGGCTCTGCCCAGCCTGCCAACACTTCCCTGGGATTCGGGAGCAGCAGCTCTCTCGGTGCCACGCTGGGGTCTGCGCTGGGAGGATTTGGGACGGCAGGTAAGGACAGCAGCTTCTTCATGGGGAAGGAGGAGAGAAGCAGAGAGCTCCAAATGCAGCCGGCGGGCTTGTGAGCCGCTGGAGCTGTCACTGGTGCGCCGAGCTGCTGAGCCCTGCTCTGCGTCCGTCGGAGGTTAAACGGAAATTTTCCTTTAGGGACTGCTTTGGCTTCCAAAATCTGTAACGCTTTCTGGTGAAAATGGTTTTAGCAGATGATAGAAGTACCAAAGTAAGGAGTGTGTTTTGTTACACACGTTATCAGACATCCCCTTGTTGCTGCAGATGAAGTTTGTAAACCGCTCTAGATTCCCTTGCCTTTGCCTGCGTGCGCTTGGCGGAGGTACGGGACTAACGGGAACTGGCTCCAGAGCGGGCACCGTCTCGCTTACCTCGGAAGAACGGCTGAGTAACTTCTTGTGGTTTTAAAAAAGCTGATCTGAGGTGGTTTCCATGCTCTATTCTGGGAATTGTTTCTCTCACACACCGAAAAACGTCACTGACTGCGGCTGCAAGAAACGTTACATACGTGGTTGGTTTTGATTTCTTTGTTAGGCAGTGGGAGACAAAGGGCTTTTTCAGAATAAAGCCAAAGCAGAAAGATGTATGTGGGTTGGGTTTTTTTTCCTTAGTGTTTTTTTTTTTTTTAAGTAGAAAAATTGTTTTAATTACTGCTTAGTCTCAGAGGTAGTAATTTTGTC